TGTTTATAGCAAAACCTCTTAATAAATACATTTCTTGTATTTTGGAATTTACTCAACTTTGGATTTTGACCTCTGAAACTGTTTGTAGAACCCTACTCGCAGAGAGCCCAGCCAAAAGTCGTTGTAGATGTAAAGCAATGCTAAGCGGAAATCAGATTTTCGCCCATGTTTTGAATCAAAATATAAAAATAGCAAATGGTTTAACGTTTAATTTTTTTTCAAACTATTTTTATCCATGTGAACGTCGAGTTTTATGCTTACGTTTTATAATTTTGCATTATGCATTAACTAAATTTGAATCCGTCAACCATTTTAAACCGTCAAACTTTACTTATATACCAGGGCGGATCTGTCGAAATATTCCACTTCTTGGATGTAAGAGGAGGCAAGCTAATTTTTGCTGGAATACCTTCAGTACAACTCACATAATAAAAGTGTAGATCCCTAGATCTGTACGAGGTCCGGAACATTTTTAAAATTGCAAAAATGTTTAAAACATTTAAAAATATATCTATCTTATCTGAGTTTTTTACTTATATCTTGGAACCTATGCATTTTGGAAGAATATTGAAGAGAGAAATAAGTTTTAGAATCCAATTTCGTACAATACACTGTAAGTTAAAATTTTTTAAATTTATTACCGATGTTGCAAAATAGCAATAATTGATGAAAAAAAGACAAAATAATCAAGTTTTTTAGATAATTTTTAAAAAAATTGTCCCGCGGACATTCTAATTTTGGTAAAAAAAAACTTTAGAGTATAATAAAACAACACACCAAATTTCATTAAAATCGGTTATATAGTTTTCGCAAAATAATTTTTGAGAAAAATTTTGAAAAAAAAAATTTCGAATTTTCAAAATGTTGCACAGCCTCAAATAAAAAATCTAGATACATGAAAGTTTCTTCACATAGAAAAGACCGCTCAACCCTACAAATGGTTTTTGAAAAATTGAAGTCGGTTGATTAAGATGGCCACAGTAAATTTTTAAAGTCTTCTTTTTTATTTTTAAACAATTAAATTACATTTATAAATTTGCAATTTAGTTTTTTTCAAAAATTATAATTTTAAAATACTCTGAAAGACGTTTCTTTTAACAAAAAAAGTTAAATTCCGTTTATTGGTTCTCGAGATATAAGCGGTCAAAGTTTACCGGCATTTACCGTTAATTTATAAATAATTTAGCAATACTTAATCTTTGATCCAGTGGCTTCGTTTTTCCGAGTTCTAAGCTGGGAAAATTTTCATATTCATAAGTTATCGGCAACATCGACAAATCAGCGGAAAAGCTGTCGCTCGCACACACGAAAAGTGAATTAAAACATGAAAAGTGGGAGAGGGGGCTTTCGCTCCGAGATTGAATTCGGAGGTTCAAAATGCGAAGATACGAAAAAAATTGCATTGTCTCGGCTTTTAATGGATCCATTTTTTTTTAATTCGATGGCTCGCGGACCAAGGAATCCGAATATGCCAACTGTCTAATTTGCATATATTTTGTTATAAACAAAGTTTATTATTTATGCATTAAATATACTATATATTTTACCCTATGCTATAGCATTTTTTCAACACTCTGAATATGAATGTATTTNTTTAACAAAAAAAGTTAAATTCCGTTTATTGGTTCTCGAGATATAAGCGGTCAAAGTTTACCGGGATTTACCGTTAATTTATAAACAATTTATCAATACTTAATCTTTGATCCAGTGGCTTCGTTTTTCCGAGTTCTAAGCTGGGAAAATTTTCATATTCATAAGTTATCGGCAACAACATCGACAAATCAGCGGAAAAGCTATCGCTCGCACACACGAAAAGTGACTTATAACACGAAAAGTGGGAGAGAGGGCTTTCGCTCCCAGATTGATTTCGCAGGTTCAAAATGCGAAGATACGAAAAAAATTGCATTGCCTCGGCTTTTAATGGATCATTTTTTTTTAATTCGATGGCTCGCGGACCAAGGAATTCGAATATGCCAACTGTCTAATTTGCATATATTTTGTTATAAACAAAGTTTATTATTTATGCATTAAATATACTATATATTTTACCCTATGCTATTGCATTTTTTCAATGAAAAAATTTGTTTACGTATATATTTCAACACTCTGAATATGAATGTATTTAGTTATTACAATTATTATATAAACGATTTTTGTTTAAACAAATTAAAAAAATAATTTTTTTATTTGGAAATTAATTTTTTTGTAAAATACAGATAAAATTAAGATTAGAATTACAAATTGATAAATGTAATCTAATTGTTTAAAAATAAAAAAAGGGTGTTAACTTTAAAAATTTACTGTGGCCGTCATAATCAACTGATTTAAATTTTTTAAAAACCATTTGAAAGGTTGAGCGGTCTTTTCTATGCGAAAAAATTTTTCAAGTACCTACATGCTTTATTTGAGGCTGTGCAACATTTTGAAAATTCGAAAAAAAATTTTTATTTTATTCAGAAAATTATTTTGCTAAAACTATCGAACCGATTTTAATGAAGTTTGGTGTATTGTTTTATTATACTCTACAGTTTTTTTTTACCAAAATTAGAAAGACCTCCGAGCAATTAAAANTTATTTGGAAATTAATTTTTTTGTAAAATACAGATAAAATTAAGAAAAAATCATACTTTAAAATTGTAATTTTGGTAGACTACATTACAAATTGATAAATGTATTCTAAAGACCTGCACCTGCATACGCGGTAAGGTAAACGGTGGCGGTGGCGTTTGAATGTAAAGGCCTGCACATACATACGCGGTAGCGATGGCGGGGGCGGTAGCGGTGGCGGTGGCGTTATCCGAATTTAAATATACCACTCGTACCGCGTCATGTATGTTTTGACCCATTTGTTTCTATGTGTTACATTCAAACGTCACCGCCACCGCTTACCTTACCGCGTATGTATGTGCAGGCCTTTACGCATAGAAACAAATGGGTCAAAACATACATGTCGCGGTACGAGCGGTATATTTAAATTCGAATAACGCCACCGCCACCGCTACCGCCACCGCCATCGCTACCGCGTATGTATGCGCAGACCTTAATTATTTAAAAATAAAAAAAGAGTGTTCACTTTAAAAATTTACTGTGACCGTCCTAATCAACTGTTTTCAATTTTTTAAAAAATTTATTTTTTTTCAAAAAATTATTTTGCTAAAACTATCGAACCGATTTTAATGAAATTTGGTGTATTGTTTTATTATACACTAATAGCCCATTTACACGAGGCCAGTTGTGAAGACATTCCATTAAGCCAATCCAATGACCAAGTTGAGGCTATTGGCTCCTAATAGCCCATTTACACGAGGCCAGTTGTGAAGACATTCCATTAAGCCAATCCAATGACCAAGTTGAGGCTATTGGCTCCTAAAATTAGAAACCGTTCTAATTAGTGGAGTGGCTTGGTTACCTTGGTTACACGATGCCAATGTTGGATTGGCTTAGTGAAATGTCTTCACAACTGGCCTTGTGTAAATGGGTCATAAAGTTTTTTTTTATCAAAATTAGAATGCCCTCGGAGCAATTAAAATATTTTTTAAAATTATCCAAAAAACTTGATTATTTTTCCTTTTTTCATCAATTATTGCTATTTTGCAACATCGATAATACATTTAAACATTTTTAACTGACAGTATATTGTGCAAAATTCAATTCTAAATCTTTTTTCCTCTTCAATATTCTTCCAAAATGCATAGGTTCTAAGATATAAGTAAAAAATTGGTATTTTTTAAATTTTTTTAAACATTTTTTCAATTTTAAAAATGTTCCGCACCTTGCGCAGATCTAGGAATCTACAATTTTATTATGTGAGTTTTACTGAAGGTAATCCAGAAAAAATTTGCTTGCCCTGGTCTATTGCTACAAACCTGTCATCCAAAGCCCGTCAAAAAGAATGTAAAATACAGGCCATTATTAATGATTAAAATTAAAATCTAGCTGCGATAGAAATATCAAATTAAAATAATTCTATTTTTTCCTCCACTCTCTTTGTCATTAAACACAGCCATTCCCATAATCACAAAAAAGCAGAAAACCCCTACTCCAACTACTAGTCAGTGACAGATTTGGAGTTAACATTTCTCTCTATTGTCAGTTTCAAATTATCTTTATTTCAAATTTCGTGTAAATTTCCAACCATTTCCAACTTAACAATCGTTCTTGCAGTGTAAAATGCACCGCCAAGCATGCGTAGTAAAAACAGTTTACAAACTATCAGAAATTTAATAATAAGCTAATAAGACCATTACACCTTTTTATTCATATTCTATATTTATACAAAATGTGACAAATGCGCCAGTTTCAAAGAATTGATTAACAGATGTTTGATTTTATCTAATCCTGAATTTTTAATAATCCATTATTAACTGAAATAGAATTCGGAAAGTATTTTCTTTTATTTATTTATATTTCTCTTGTGATTTATTTATGTTTATACAGGATGAGCAACAATTAACCGTACCAATTTAAGTACCCAAAACAAAGCAATTAACCATTCAAATCAAAATTGTTACCCATCAGTAAGTATGAATTTTAAATTATACAAGGTGATCTTACTTTAAATACTGAAACTGCGGGAATAAATTAATTGCCAAAAAATAAGTAGAGTTTGCTCTATAAACTTTTCCTGGCGAATGCATCAGTATTCGAGGGTGTCATATCTTCACAATGCCCTGACGGAATTGAATGAAAACGTACCTATACACTTAATTAGACTTCTAATTAATACATTTTTATTAATTTCAATCCACATATATATGAGTATTGTGTTTGCATTTGCATTTATCCTTTTGCTTTTAATTGCAATGCAAATGACCAATAGACCAAGTTGTTTGCTATACTCCAAAATTCTAAAATTCAAACTATGAATTCAGTTCCAATATATTCTTTATTTATCTTTGTTTATTCTTTATTCCTAACGATTGTTGTTCACTCAGTGAAACAAACGGTATTTCCATCCATTGCAATATATTTACTAAATAAATTGTAACCGTAGCACTTACCTGTTCTACATTGCTTTTAAAATCTCTAACGTGAGAAACGACGTCCTCAGCCACAACCTTTGGCCAGCCCCTTTGGTTTCCAGGATTGGAGAGAAGCGGTACAAACACACCTTCCATTAAAACGGCCAGCTCTTCGACCGGTCTTCCACCCATATCACCGAAACTTAATACGGTCCTAAAGTTCTGCATAGTCACCGCCTGAGGCACCCTCCTTATGAAATAAGTGTACTTTTGTTTAATTGCTGCTGAAAACTGCGTCATCGGTGTGAGCAGGCCAGTTGTTGGTATTGTCATAATCAGCATCTTTTCGTTTGGATTGTTCAAGAAGTTCAGTATCATTTTCTGAAAATAAACAAGAAATAACTGCAGCTTATATGATCTCCGAATTTTTTAAGGTTGCCAATCAGTGTCTAAATTATAACTTTAAGAGTGAATTCTTCTGTCAAAAAATAAGCGATAATATTGTTCTTAAAAATATGAGTACAAAAGCACATTTTGACATTTTTCTCGAAAAAGAGACAAAAAAATTCTAAATTCGATAGCTTTATAGGGGACTAATAATTTTTTAGAAATTCAAATGTCCGACCAAAGACAGGGGGGGCTTAAGGGAGCTCCCCACCAAAAATAGTAGCACTATCAGATTTCACATATCTTAAAACCTCTGTATACCAAATTTAGTGATACTCGTACAACAGGATTCTGAGATATAAAAATAATACTATTCTTAGGAACAGATTTCATCAGGTTGTAACCCCGAAAGAGGGGGCCACTTGGCAAAAATAAAAAATACTGGTTTCCTAAATTTGTTTTAAGAATCTTATCCAAATTTTATTGCATTAATTTCAGAAGTTACTTTTTATCACAGTATTTGTACATAGAAATATTTATTTTAAATACGAGTATTTCAAATATTTTATACAATAATTTACAATTTAATAATTACTTTGTTCAATTCCTCTAAATAAACAAATGAGGACGGCAAACAATAGTATAAAATCAACAAAATTTACATATTAAAATTAGATAAACCATTAATTTTTTAAAACTGTATATAGTCCATGCGGCAGAGCATTCGAGGCGTTTGTATTTGAAGTAATCTATTTTGTTGTACAGAAAAATTCCAAATATTATGTAGAATGAGAATCCGAGTTTGCCTATTCCAAAAAACCATTGCTAAATTCAGGGGAACAACAAACACAAAAAGAGTGAAAAATTACCCATTTTTCGTTATATTTTCCCTGTAACATTAAAATTAAGCCCTAAATAAAAAAAAATCATTCTTTAATTTTTGTTTATTTGACAATTTTATATGAAGTAACAACTGCGAACCAAAAAAGTTGGATTCTGCATTAACAATGGGCGAAAGGTAGTAGAAAATCATATGTATATTTGGAGCAATTTTTAAAATAAGTAAATATTTATAAATATTTATGAAACTTTGTGAACAAATAGTAAAACATATGTGAATTCTACCCTAAAAATTTTGCAACGATCAATCGCGTGGTTTTTGATTGACAGGATTGTTAATTAAGAAAATTTCAAAAAGTACCGTGGGTTTAAATTAAGGTTTAGAAAGGGCACACAATTTTTTAGACTGTTATAACCATTTATTTTTTTTTTAATTTTTCAACATTTTACTCTATAAACAATTATTTATTGCCCAGGGAATTTTCTATGCAATCGACAATCGAATGCAAAAAAATATTCGTATTCCTGTCATTTTGCTATATCAAATTTAAAATAAAATCGTCTTGATAAGTGCTATTGTTCCCGAGAAAACTCATCTTTTATGGCGCATACGCATTTTGAAACCCATACGGCGTGCCGCAGGAAAATTCCAGTAACCACGGTACCTTTCTTGATTTTTCTTTCACTAACCTTTTATCTGCCGAAAATGCACTAAACGGTTATTGAAAGTACTTGTAGTTAGCTATAAAAACATTTTTTTTCTGGACTTCACGATTACGTAAGCTATAAATTTATTTATCATTAACTTTACGCTTCTATATCTCAGAATGTACACAGTAGAATGCTGTCATATTTGACTAAAAAGCAAGGGTTACGACGTAGGTTTTATGTGTGCAAGATTGCATAGAAAATTCCCTGGGTAATAAATAATTGTTTACAGAGTAAATGTTGAAAAATTAAGAAAAAATAGGTATTTTTAATACTGATCATTGTTTATTATGACAACAAGTATCTCTAAAAAATTGTGTGCCCTTTCTAAACCTTAATTTAAGGAGGTTCGATACCGAACAAAAAATGGTAAGAAAGTATTCAAAATCATTGAAATCTGTTAATAAATATGCCAACTGTCTCGTGTAAAAATATCAGATCGATTGCCAATATAGTTTTTTTGAAAAATGATAAAAATTATGCTCTTTTATACAGGCTCTTATGCGAGTTGGGAAAAAACTTTAATCAAACGTGAATATTGCTCTTAAAAATGGGTAAAACATATGTAGTAATAATTAATATTAAAAAAATTTTTCGTGTTCGCATGCAATACAATAGCATTTTGAAACAAAAATTGAAAGGATCTCTTTGCAAAACGAACGGTATAGATGTTCCGTCATAATCTTCAATTTGACAAGGGGACAGCTCACTATTGTACACTGAGCTTCTTGACAGTTATCATATGGATTCTCGGTTTGGACATTTTACTTCTTTCTCATCAATCCACATTCTGTTTCATACGCATTTTATATTGCTCTTCAATCATTACTTTTCCTTTGTATCTTGGATGTTCATTCATGTTTACGGAATACGCGCAAAGCACAGTTGACAGTAATGACAGTTGACTCAACTTTTAACACCACGCCAGGGCAATGTTGCCAGATTTCATCCATCATTTTACAAGCTCTTAAATGAATAAATAGATACTTTTATTCAAATAAAAGCCCCGCAAGAGATGTATCGAACCTCCTCAAACCAACGGTATGCAATAAACTTTTTGAAATTTTCTTAATTAACAATCCTTTGAAACGAAAACCGCGCCATCGTTCGTTGCAAAATTTTTACGGTAGAATTGCCATATTTTACTACTTGTTTACAGAGTTTCATCAATATGTATTTATAAATCTTTACTTTTAAATTTTAAAAATTGCTCCAAATATACATATGATTTTTCGCCCATTGTTAATGTAAAATTCAACTTCTTTGATTCGCACTTATTGTATTTTAGAAAATCGTCAACTAACAAAAAATAAAGGATGACTTTTTTTATTTAGGACTTACTTTCAATGTTACAGGGAAAAATATGTCGAAAAACGGGTAATTTTTCGTTCTTTTTGTATGTTTATTATTCCCCTGAAATTAGCAATGGTTTTTTGGAATAGGCAAACTCGGATTCTTATTCTACATAATATTTAGGCCAAAGCCTACTTTTAGTGCTCTACCGCCTGGACTAATAGCAAATTGTATATTTTCTCAAAATTTCAGATAATATATGAAACTTTGATACTATTTGTTACTATCACGATATTAGGAATAACTGTGTAAATTTTTATGACGGTGTTTTCTGTATGTATACTCGCAGTCCTTTTAAACTTAGCTGTAGATTTAGAAACTATTTCCCATCGATGTCTGGGTTACGTAATATGTAGAAAATCAATAGCTTTTCGTCACTGTTGTTTGTATCCTCGTATCGTAAAATTGATTTTATGCTATTGGAAACCTGAAAACAACAAACAAGTGTTTCTTTTTCAAATATTCCTAATATACAATACGTTGCGTGTTTAGATATTCACATTTGCATGAATGAGTTAATTTTTATGAATGAATCGGAAACTTACCGCTACCTAAATAAATTTAGCAAATAAATAATTTAATAATTTAGATAAATTAATTTTTTCTATTATAGAACATACTTCTAGACAATTTTAGTTGCCTAGATACATTTTGTGTTCACTCAATCTTTAAGAGTGGCAATCTAATATTAGGCTAGTCATTATGGGTTTTTTGGGGAAAAATATACTATTAGAAGTTTCTCTGCGGAATATTGTTCGGAAACCTGTTATAAATGAAATATCAAAAAATCAACTCGAGACTAGTTGGGAAACTTTGTTAAAACAATGGTCAAAGTTATGGAAAAGTGTTTTTTTGACTCGCGTAAAAAAACTGTTATTCATAGAGAAACAAGGTTTATACAAAAAAGGTAGGTATTAAATAAATCTATAAAATAAGACAAGTCCCATTAAGTTCCAATAATTTGTTTATGCGCAAGAGCTCAAAAATGGTCGAAAATTGTAGTTTTTTTCAATTGCTAATAATTAATACAATTTTCATCGCAGACACTTGTAATTCAGGATTTTTGAGGCTTTTTGCACCCTTAATAAGTGGTACAAATTTCAGCCCGAAAGCTTCATTAGCTTGGCGTTGGCGGAATTTGTTATCTAAGAAGATGCTATTTTCAATTCATTTTTCCCAAGCTCACAGGCGTTGTAGAGTTTCGATCATTAGTTGCTTTTGTACCTAAATAATTGTATTGACATATGCATTTACTGACAATTTAATTTTTCAAATTTAATTTGTTTAAAAATGACTGAAAAAATGTTAAATTGTTAAGATATGTAATTATGATAAAATAAAATAGTAACCTCAATACTAGTTTAGTTAATACTATTTTTCTTCGAATTTAAAAAAAAATCGTTGTTCTAAGTTGATTAGAAGCTGAGATAATTTTTTTTTTATTTAATCGCAGTGACCTTAATTATTAATTTTAAGAGCCGACATTTGAAGAGAGTATACATTAAGAGCTATATTTTCATGTCCTACATTAACATTAAGGTGAATTCAACTATTTCATTGCAAATAAGAAGATAGCGGCGATGCGTTCTATTACTCGGTCTAGCAAACGAGTGGGAAGAGCAAGGCGGAGCATGCGCGCAAGGTTACTATTTTATTTTATAATAATTACCTATCTTAACAATTTAATAAATATTAACATTTTTTCAAAGTCAATTTTAAACAAATTAAATTTGAAAAATTAAATTATCAGTAGATGCATATGTTAATACAGCTATTTAGGTACAAAAACAACTAATGATCGAAACTCTACAACGCCTGTGAGCTTGGGAAAAATGAATTGAAAATAGCATCTTCTTAGATAACATATTCCGCCAACGCCAAACCAATGAAGCTTTCGGGCTGAAATTTTTACCACTTATTAAGGGTGTAAAAAGCCTCAAAAATCCTGAATTACAAGTGTCTGCGATGAAAATTGCATTAATTACTAGCAATTGAAGAAAACGGCCATTTTGGACCATTTTTGAGCTCTTGCGCATAAACAAATTATCGGATTTTAATCGGACTTATCTCATTTTATAGGCTTATTTAATACC